TGTATGGACATTTATCTGTGCAGACATTCCATTTTACTCATGTGTCTACCTACATTTAGAGCCTAACACTTTGTTGATTTATCTCTCTGAGCTCTTATCCTTTCACCCCTGTAATGCTGAAATACATATGCAATTAGCTTCCCTCAGTCATCTTTCTCCCTTCCTGGTCTTTAAATCTACCAAACCATGGTGGATTAGCTAAAATAATGCGTTCACTACTTCCCTCAATGTCAGGAAGTTATGATGATCAAGCACTTAGTAAGTGGTGATCCTTATGTCAGGGTCTTTGGGTTACCAGTATTTCCCTGCCCCAAGGTAACTCAAGCAGTTTCCCTTTATAATCTTAGAGACAAAGGAAGCACTTGAGCAATGGACTGTATTCCAGGGCTAGATGACTTCAGTATCCCTTGAAACAGAGGAGCTAAGGCCTCAAGAAATAAACATTTGGTGCCAGTCTGTTTATCATTTCCTCAAATATGTATGCCTATCATTTATCTATCTGTCAACCATCTATCTCTATCTCATCTATCTATCATCTATCTTTTATCTAAACTTTAGCTCAGTGAGGTCTTCAGTCTTTGTTGGAATTACTTTTTTTTTTTTTTGGTAAGCACCTTGTATAAATAGTTAATCTTATAACAACAAGATTGGTTAACCTTTCAGAAAGTCAGAGAGCATTTTCCAGGACCCCAGGTTTCTATGTTTGCTGATTGAATACTTTTTTCTGAAGGGTAACAGTTGTCTGTTGAGCCAATCACATTTTAAAGGCCATCTCATTGTCTCAGTGGAAAATATTTCTAGGAGTCATAAACATATCCTCAAAATTTGCAACAGCTCTCTTGGGGGTGGACATTCTCAATTTGGATACTTAAGTCCCTTATCTTCTCCCTGGTAGATTAGAGCTGTTAACTACCTACACATACCAAAGTGTTTTTATTTCCATCAATTTTTTAAATTTGGTGTAATAAATACAGCAAAGTCCAAATTTAGAACTATTTCTTGGTGACAATAAAGGAGTATGTGCATAGATTTTTATCCCTAGTCCTACATGTTTCAGGGTAAGTATGATTTTTCTGTAATTTAGTGAGAAACTGGAGTAGGTTTGCTGTTTGCAAGCATGGATTTTTCTAGTGTTCTTAGAAATATCAATGGCCTGCGGAAGAGAAAAGTGAGTTATTCATTATGATAACAAAAGTTAAGATCTATTCACTTATTCATCAAAAATACACACTGAATTCCCATTTTGTTACAAGCTTTATTTGGGTACCTGATGGGTATATATATATATATATATATATATATATATATATGTTATATATATGTTATATATATATTATATATATGTGTAATTATATATATTTATATATATATATAATTAGAGTCATGGAATTAGAAATAAAAGTACTAAAAGTAAGTTTATATACTTTACATAACTTCAAGTACTGATTATGATCAACAATAAGTAATTAAACTGTACAGTTAGACAGTAACCAGAAGTTACTGTGTATGCAGTAAGCGATAACCAAGAGGCATAATTATTCTGCAATTCTAGATGAGTCTCAATTCTGTGTTATTAACTTTGTCTTCTCCTTTGATGAACTGTATCAAGTAATTTGAACTTCTATTTCAGTTCTTGTAAGTCAGTTTCGATATAAGCTAGTTTTCCTACTGCTATGACAAATACCTGTGGAGAGGGAGGAAAAACTTACTTTGGCTCACATATCGGAGGTATCATCTCACCACAGTGGAGAGAGCATGACAAACATAGCAAGTTCTAGTATTATGGAGAAGGAGAGAGGGACAGAATATTCAGATCACCCTTCCCCTTCCCTTAATCCTTGCTGGACCCAGCCTCACAGATACACTCAGAGGTTTGCTCTACCAAACTGCTTGCTTCTTAATCCAGTCAAATTAGTCATCAAGATCATCATCATGTCCCAAAGCTTGATTCCATTATATTCTCTCTAGCTAAATACAGGCCTCTCATTAAACCACATCTGAATCTATCCTTCGGTTTTTATCTAGGTTTACGCTAAACCTAACTCATTCATTCTATTTCTAATCTATCAAATTAATTTTTAGTCTTCCTTCTTCCTTGTATCTCACTCCACCAATTTCTAAATATAATTCCATGATCAGTTACTTTAATGAGCATTTTGAATGTGTATTTTAAAAGTTACCTAGTAATTATATTAGTGGTTTCTGGTGAAACCTCTATTGTCTCATATCAAGGTCAAAATGCTTCTAATCATGAAGAATCTGTACTATGGTTTTTACTTTTGATTCATACACTAATTTGAATTGAGAACTTATGAAATTGACACATTGCCAAACACTGGCGCATTTTAAAAACAGGTCAAGTAATGGTGGCAAGAACTCAGATTGTAATACCAGCTCTCCATTTGACAGTGGACACAGTAGATCAACTCTGTACCTCAATTTCCTCATATGTTAAAGGAAACCTAAGGAGAGCTAGTCCATAGATGGTGGTGAAGAATGAATAAGTCAGTGTAGTTTTTGTCATTTGGTAAGATAATTTTTTTTTTCTGTGAATATTGCTTACAACTACAATTAAATACATAAGAGAATCTAGGCAAATATTATTCTTTCCTTCACGGGGCTCATCTGAAGCACAGATATTCCACATGTTTGTAGCTCCATTTCAGCCCTGCTTTGGAAAACCCTTCCTACTTCCTGACCACATGCTCTATATGTTATGGTACCCATAAATGAAATTATTCTTAGTATAGAATAGTCTTTATATACTGAGCGGATCTGCTTCTCTGTGGCATCTTAAACTACTAGATAGTAATTCCTTTAGGAAATTATACAGTTGTGTAAGAAGGAGAAATGGGTAATGGTGTCTCATTCATAGTCTGGAGCAGTTCCTACTCAGCTGTATGATATTTAAGTTGCCTATCCTGTCAGTCTTCTACTTTTTACTCTATAAAGCAGAAACACCAATTCCTCCTTCTCAATGTGCTCACAGATGTGAAGTAATCTTTTGTGGGGCAAGCACCTGGTGCATTGCTTGTCATGTGTGAGGTTCAAAACAAGTTTGCTCTTCACCTTCCCAAAGCTGACAAAGCTATTCAGTCTCATATTGTTCACAGTAATTTACACCCTTAAAAATAGCTGCTACTAAGACAATGTGGAATTGAACTCATTTTTATATTCCTTACACTGATGGCAATGTAATGATGCTAGCTGCTTCGAAGTTGGTTCTCTTGCTGTTCTCATATGTATGCATAGGAATATATAGTAAATGCTCATCAGCAATACCGGTGGATTTTTCTCTCATAGCAAATGGCCAACAGACTGAAAATCCCTCTGTGAAATAGAGTAGTTTAGGTCTACTCTTTCTACTCATTGTGCAAAGGGAAGGCCCTGGCTATGGATTTTAACCTTCAATGTACTTATCTGAATTCTAATTTGTCCTCCCTAAACTTTAGTTCCTTCTGAAAACAGTCATTCTTCTACTCCCACCCCTGATCCCTTACCTGCTGCCTATACTGAAAAAAAGAAAAAAGATATCATGAAATATCCTTGATTTGTCTTTAACCATACGAGGATCTAGATAATCACAAAGAGTGCTTGGAGAGACAGCTCTGTGAGTAAAAATGGTTGCTATGTAATTATGAAGAAAGACCTACTTAAGAGCAAGGCATGATCATGTCCATTCCTGTCATGATAGTTTTGGGTTGAGGGGTTAAAAGAAAGGAGGGTTGCTGGGACTTGCTGGCTGTCAGCCTAGCTTCAGATTCAGTGAGTAATGGCATTTCAAAGGAGTAAACTGGAAAGTGATGGATTATGAACTGCATGAATTCATAGGCATGTTCTTTGTCCATATATATATATATATATATATATATATATATATGCATCTCTGCTATAAATACACATTCACATATATACATACTCACACATTAAAAATATATAGAAAGAAAATTGCAATGAAAATAGCCTGGCACACCATAGTATATCTGAAATCACAGTTGTAGAGAGTGGAGACTGGATGATCCCTGGCTCTCAGATGAGCCAATGATACACACACACACACACACACACAAACACACACACACACACACACACACACACACACGCATACCCACACATGTGTGCATGTACACACACACAAATAAAAAATGCAATAAAATACTATAATCCATAGACATGCATACAGGCATGCTTGACTATAGAGAAGCTCTGACCTAACACACATGGGAGGAACTCAGTATATCTTCTGAGAAAACGATGTTGGTGGAGTTCCATAAGATAGTAGTGAAAAAGTAAGACTGAAATGTAATACTCATTGGTTAAATCTGTGCATATATTTTTTGTTAAATTTCATAGAATTGCTGATTACAATATTAGTGATTGAGCTGCTACATACAAGTCTCAATGTTCATAAAGGCTGTGCCTTGATAATTGAAATACGTTCATTATCAGCAAGAAAATACACCAAGGGAATAGAGATTCCTTTCAATCCATGCTTTCTTTATAAATCATTTCCTAAATCTACTCTACTGTTTCAAGCTTATCTTGAAATAATCAAAGAGAGGTCCCTACAGACCTTCAAAACTATGTCAAACTGAAAATAATGTGTCCTGTCATCACTTTGCTGAACTTGTGAATGTAATTAGATCAATTAAAAGCCAATATGTACTGTTAGGATTAAATGTCATTACAATTCTTGAGCTAGATGCCAGGGAGCACATGCCAGAGGATTCAGTACAGTCCCCGTTTCCAAAAACTTGTATGCCATGGGCTCATGGTAAGTGTTTAAAAAAAATACATTCTTTCAAGGACAGACTGGTCTACAGAGGTAGTTCCAGGACAGCCAAGGCTACACACACAAAAAAAAAATCTAAAAAATGCATCCTCTGTTCAATTGATAAACAGTTTCAAGTGAGAAACAACACAAAATATGAGAGAAAGGTGAGCATGGGTATTTAGTTTTTCATTTTTATTTTTGAAACTCACCACATAGTACCCCTACCTTTGTCTCCTAAGTGACACAACAACACAACATGCTCTAGGTCTTTGTTTTATTTTGTTTTTTGTTTTTTTTGTAAGAGAGAGTTCAGGTACACATCTATACAAATTATGATATTATAGGATATTTAGTTAATTTTTACATCAATAGGAAGTGAAATTGTACACATGTAAGAGTTTTTGTAACTGCCTCAAGTTAACTTTAGTGTTTTTTTCATACCACTGCTCCTTAGACTTCGATCACTGCCTTAAACTTTTTAAACAGTATTTCCTAGTCATTCCCTAAGATGAAAGCTTAATAAGTATCTATGATATGTGTTTGTCTCATGTACATCTGCACTTCACATATAACACAGGTTCAATTTTGTATTTACTTTTGTGATCTGTGTGTGTGTGTGTGTACCCCAAATTCACACATTAATATCCTACTTTACAAGGGGATAGTAGGTGGGGCTTTGGGGCTGATAAATGAGATCAATCTCATGAATGGATTGAGAAGCCCTAGACAGTGTGCTACAGTAAAACCATCCTTCTTCAGGGAAGCAGGTTGTCACAGCCATGGGTCTACTGTCACCTTTCATCTTGATGCTCCAGCTTCAGAAACTGTAGGGAATTGATTTCTCTTGTTTATGAATTATCTCATGTATGGCACTGGTTGGAAAAGCACAAGTAGACAAAGAAAACAGTTATATAATTTCAGTCTCTTTAGGACTTAAAGGACACTTGTAACAATGACTGTCTTCCTGGCCTTCTTTCTGGTAGTCTATTTGACTAGGGAAAAGGAAATTTTGAAAACAGATTGAATTCCAACTGTCTCATTAGATAAGTTACCTAATCTCCTTGAATGCAAATGCCTTATGAGAATCATGGTGACAATAATGTTCAATAGTATGTATGTATCTAGGATTCTTTTCTTTAATGAATTAAGGTAACTTAGAGGCAAACATATAACTACAGTCTCAAAAATATTAGTTACTCTCTTTTGGTCCCATGATGTAGTACACTTTGAACTCTGCCTTTAAACTGTAGTTTTTCATCTCCTCATTTATTTTCCTGTCTAATAGACATTAAAAAAATAAGGCTGAGTAACTGCAGAAAGAATAACATGAGAAGAACTAACAGAAGCCTTGCTGACAAGTCTGCAACCACAGATTGTGCCAGGGCTGGGACTATCTGAGGGAAACAGTTTCTCATATATAGTTTTGGAACTCACTCCTCTTTAAATGGATTTTTGCCTTATTAGATATTGCAGTGCGAGATAGATGCTCAAATGCAGTATGGCAATGAGGACAGTATCTAGAGAATATCTGTGATCAAGCCACCTCTATTACTTATTCTTTGACATGGGTATGAATTGAACACCCACTGCATCCTTGATATAAAAATATCACACCTAAGTGAGATTGTTTTGAAAGTCAAGTAAATGTTACCTAAGTAATTTCTAGTATGAAGTTAGCACCCAATATGAACCACTCTGTATTTTCCTTTAAGCAATTTGTTTAATGGGATGTTATTGGGAATGATGCAACATAGGATTTTAAAATGCCTACCATGTAGGCTAAAATAATGGCTATAATGTACATTTCAAGAGCACCTTCAAAATAAAGAATTTTTACATCTGTATTCTGCAGAAGCACTTGTTGAAATAAACAAAACTGACATTATTGTCCCCTTTTAAAATGCCAGAATGCTCACATTGCATATGAAAACACAAGATGACAGAGTGTGAGGCTGAAATTTAAATCTAATTTTTATGATTGCAAACCAAAAGCTGGAACTCATTGTTTAATATCACTGATGTATCCTTGTTTCTCGGTTTATAATCTAATGGATTTTTCAAGGTTCTTAAAATTATATTATTCAGTTTTAGTTTTGATAAGTCCCCAATGATAAGTAATAAATTTTGTGTACTTTTCAATGGTGATCATGGTCCATCTTTCATCAAACCTCTTTAGGACTTTAAAGAATGTTTGAAATTCATTTTAGTTTTTTATTATCAAAATGTTATGGAAGTATTTGCGGAAATAGGATCTGGTACCATGGGTTTAAAGTGGAAGGATGGGAGATTCTATCTCTTTTGATGGATTCTTGGGTAGAATACTAAGAAGCCTTATGTAGTTACAAAGTTTTACACATATGATGCCTTTTGGTACAATCGAAATCAACATGAATTTTTGGTTGTTTATTTCATCAAATTTTTAAATAAAACATACCTGGAGATATATATTGAAAATGACCTGTAAAGAAAATAATTTTGCTTTAATGAACAATAGTAACCAGAAGGTGAATAGTAATTATTGCATATATGGAGAAGCTGCCTTTCCATATCTGTTTCAGCAAATAATCAGCCTCTGGCTTCCAGCAACACTCAAGGCTTATTTTTAATCTTCATTCTCTTTCCTAGATAAATTTGATTGTAGGAAGTCTCACCAAGGGAGAATGTAGATCACAAACTAGATTTGAAAAGCACAACTCCTCCTTACATACTGAAATTGATAGTTTAATAACAACAGCAGCTAACTATAAAACTTTTCTGAAGGATTTAGAGCTGAAAAAGACACAATTTCCAGTGAGCTGACCATCTTTTCTGGACAGTTAATTGACTTCAGGTAACTTTCCTATTCTTCACGTGTCTTTTATGGGCACCCCAGTGTAAGTTCATTTTATTAATAGCTTTCCTGTCACCCATTGTTTAGACATCATTCCATATTCAATCACCATTGTGTCAGTCTCCCAAAGCAATACACCTGAGCTTTAAACAAGCTTTGACAGGGAGTTGTCAGAGGAAGGGCATATCCAACTAGTTCAGCATTTGAGTATGAACAATGTTCAGCTCATACATGCAAAGATAAAATAGTGAATTATAATTATAAAAGTGCTTTGATGATTCTTATACATAAATTTTGATTTATACGTTGGAATCTCATATTTGATGAGGAATTAAAGTCAATTATTTTTTCATTAATTTAAATATACTTCTCTAAAGTTTTGTCAGATACCTGTTACATTTCAATACTGTACAAGGCAGACAGGAAAACAAAGAGTGTTGCAGATTGCTTTCTTACTTTCCTGCAACTAATAGATCTGTTGGGAAGTTCAAGTACACACACACACACACACACACACACACACACACACACACACACACACATACACACACCATTGGATAATAACAAAGATAGTAAGAAATGGACAAAATGTATGTTTTTATGTCTGTAAAGTTTGAGAATTTAGTATATTCCAGAAATTTCCCACAAAACCAATTATTGTCTGGATATCAGTTAACTCAAGGTTTTGCTTGATGAAATGTACTCAAGCATGTGCATATATATTTGTGTTATTTTATTATTTACATATAAAGAGAGTCTACACACTAATACACAGAAGCACAAACACACATACACACAAATGTATACACACACACACACACACACACACACATATATATATATATATATATATATACATATACATAAATACCCACACACATCCACATATATGAGTGTGAGACCTTGAGAATCATAAAGTGAAGTTTATTGGATGACAACATACCATTCTTGAGATCTCTCATCCATATACCTATTGGTTCTTAGTGAAAGGTTTACATGAGCAAGGGCACATTGCATGGTAAACACAGTAGACTTTCATAAGAGATGTCATAAGAAAAGGATAAACAGAAGAGAAGGAAAAGATTACAAAGAACCAGGAAAATGTAAGAATGAAAGTCCCAAACCAGAGGGTGAGAAAAAGATGATAGGGTTGAAAACAGGGAGGTCAGTGCATGGTATGAGTCTGAAGATCCAGTTATCAATACATATTATTTTACAGGAGACTTATCAATAATGAGGAAGTCTTTAAACAAAAGACTTCACTGGCCTGCTCTCTGTATTTTAGGAAGAGTATCTGGTGACCTTTTACCCACAGTCCTAGAATCATGGCAAGAAGGAAAAGCAGCCAGAACTGTGTATTATTCAGGAAATGATAAGAGGAAGTGAAGACATATAAAATGGAGAACAGAATTAGAATCCACAAGGCAACGTGAAGTTCATAATAGTTTCTGTAAAAACTACTTGATGTATTTTCAATTGGCTGTGTGAAATTAATATTTAAAAATGGAAATAGGAACTGATTGGAACAGGCTTCTCTGAAAAGTTCCCATCATGTATTTATTTAAGAGGCATATTGCTTTTTAAAAGCACCCTGATGTCACACTGATGATTTAGTGGTAAATGAGCCTTAAAATAATGGATGCTGACAAAGATCCTAACATAGAGACACTTCCATCTGGATGCCATATTGCCTAGGAAGTGAGCCTTGTGAGAAATTTGTTACAACTACACAGCTGCTGTGTCACAGCAGATAACCACAGCCTCTGCGCTTGGGTATCTTCGGGCAAGTGGATGCTTGCTTGTATCCCTTGTTCTTAGTTAAAAATAGATGCAATGATTATAGAAGAGTTAGCAAACAGAACTTCAAAAGAAATGAGAAATTCTGCAGTCTCACCACACATAAAAAAAAATCGTTAACCTTTGGAGTGTTTATTTTCCTAGATCTTTTGTGTGCATTATTTAGTTATTGTAAGGCGTATTTCAAAGAATAATCTCCCTTCTGCCTCTCTCCTTCACAGCTTATCTTTAATTCCTGGTATCTCACTTCTTTTACCTTATTCTTAAATGTTCCTTTTTTTTTCTTAACACATCATAACGTAGAAAGAAACAAATCATAACACATCTCCCAGTTCAACTATTTGAAAACACAAAGAATTCTCTTCTTGTAAAACAAAGAGAATGTAGTAGGCATAGAGACCAACCTCCTAGCCATGAGGATGTCTAATTTGCAGACGCTAGGGGAGCAAACGTGTCACAGGAATAGTAACAGTGGGCTAAGAACAGTGTGCACATCGGGCATCTTTAGAAGTTAGGTGAGAAGTAGTGGCAACATCAAAACATTCCAACTCTGTTTTATAAGTACAGCTACAAAATTGTGATGCTGATTGGCTGTGGACATACTTTTACCATCTAACTATCCTCAGGTATGACTCCTGCTTCTCCTCCATCCCTGCCTTGGTAGCTGTGATGTATCTTTGAACATGTTACATGACGTCTGGAAGAGTCAGTTTTCCTTTTCATAAAATACATGTGAAGTCAACTCATAGTAAATCATATAATATGAGATAAATATTTGTCATCTCTGGGTCACTGAGATCCAGAGAAAATATTTGTTCACTGTAGTATCAATTCATCACAGTAGCAAAAATGTTTACCCCATGCTTGATTCGAAATCCAGTTTCCCTTTTCCTTTTTTTGAGAAGAAACAGTCGACAAATAGCATAAAAAGTCAAAAAAAATGTTCATACCATTCCTTCAAATTGCCAAATTGTGAAATCTTATATTTCAACTAGGACTTTTTCCATCATGATTTTTCAGCTACAGTCATTTACTGTGTAATCATGTTTCACTCAGCAGTCACCATTTACTAGAGTCTCATAAGGTCATTTTGCCTTGGGATGTTATTGTTGTCTAGGCTGCATAAACATTCAGCCTGATGTTTGCACAGTGACAAAACTAACCCCTCCCATTTCTCAGAAGGTGCTCCTATCTTAAAGGGATGCATGACTATATTTCAAACCACCCTCAGACACAAGTCTGACTCTCAGCCGGGGTCAAAGCCACTTAGTGTGACTAATTTGGATTTGAACCTTTTAGCTACTTGCAGTATCCAGAAATAATTTATTATCCTGACATTCCACAAATGATATAACTACAAAACAAATATCCAAACTGGCATTTTAAAATGTGTCAGCTGAATGGATGAAAGAGTCCCATTCTTTCCTTTATATCAAGATGAACTTGCTTGGTACCTGTCATGGAGTGAAGCTTATCTAGCAGCAACAGGAAACAAAGGTTATCTCTAACACAATGGAAAAGGGCAAATGAATGTTAACATTTAATTAAAGCCTCAGGAAAAGAATGGCAAAGTGCAGGTCCGTGGTAAAAAGAATAGTGTGTGTTGTTGCTTTACGGAGAGAGATGGCTGAGTGCAGAGGCAGAATCTAAATGCAGATAGTTGAATTAGCAGTGCTCTTGATGCTGCTGACATTATATTACAGGGGTTTATGCTCCAGCAAAAACATTAATAGGAAGAAGCTGTTGGGGATGTAATTTTGACTGCAAGGACTACAGTCAAATCTATGAGGATTTTAGAAGAGTCCAGAGTAGATACAAGCAAAGCCACAAGGCAGCCCACCCAGCATTAAACATGAATTGCTTCTGTACGACATAACTGTAGAAAGATGGGATAGTAGCTCAGCTTCTTTTTAGTTTCCCCATTATAAATTAAACACTGCTGTTGTGTACTTAAATAGTAATTAGGAGGCTACACACAGAAATTACTATTTTTTCTAATCTACAGTCTTCTTTCTATACATATACTCCTAAGCTTTAGATTCAGTATTTACCAGCCATACCACTAGTAGAAATTATTCATCTTTCTAAGACTCAGGCTTCTTGTCTGAAAATTGGGTCTAATTACAGTGTCTAATAGAATTATGAAAATTGCATAGAATCAGTAATGCACATTTTTTGGCACACACTAATCATTTTCTTAGAGTTTTTTGTTCCCCTAATAGACCAAGAGCTTCCTAAAGAGGTACCTTTTTAGGTTCTTCCTTGTGTCCAACAAGATTTCCATATGAATGCCTGTGAAATAAATACATAAATAAAAATATTCTTGGTACTGACACATTAACATGGTAACATTCATACTCAACATGGCATGCCCAAGAAAAGAACCTAATAGGTACTCACAAAGACCTATGGGATACTGGTACAATGATACTCAGAGACTCATAGAACAATGGGGTAGAATGGAATACTGATACCACCAAGTTCTGTTCTCTCTTGTTTACTCACACCAGAACCTCACCAAAATGCCCAGCAACACACAATGGTGTTAGCTACAGAGAAAATGCATTTCTTCTTATCTCATATCCACCAGTACTTTAATCTCCTTTCTCTCTCTCTCTCTCTCTCTCTCTCTCTCTCTCTCTCTCTCTCTCTCTCTCTCTCCTCTTCCCCTCTTTCTCTCCTCTCTCCTCTCTTTGTCTCTCTCCTCTCCTCTCCTCTCTCCTCTACCTGCCTCCTCTCCTCCCTCCCTCTCTCTCACCTCTCTTTGTTTCTCTCCTCTCTCTCTCTCTCTCTCTCTCTCTCTCTCTCTCTCTCTCTCTCTCAACAATTTTAAAGTCTCACTTGCTACAGATGTTCTCAAGCTCTTCTTCCTGACTGAGTGGATAAAGGCTCCTAACTTGTATGTTTTCCTACTTCTCAGCTGTATCTGGACTGTTCTTGTCTTGTAGTTGCTCAGTAGTTGTAAATTGAGCCAGTGCATAAAGTGATTTGGAGTCTTCATGTTCTAAAGCAGCAACTAATTTTTAACTGCAACAATAATATCCATTTTTCTTACACACACACACACACACACACACACACACACACATATATATATATATATGCATATATGTATGTATTTAAAACCATGAAATCTGAGATGAGATTTCATTTCCTTGGTCAAAGATTAAATTTTAAGCAGGCTTTTAATCCTTGACAGTTTAATTTCAAAACTTACTAGACCTCAAGGGAAAGCCAAAACTGTCTAATCTTTATTTTACATGTTGGCAAGTCAAAGCTAAGCACTTGTAGACCATTCAAGGCTGAGTCACCTAACTCAATTCCACCTTATTTTCCCTCCACCATTTTCCAAGAACTTTACAAATTGCAAAGCACCTTTAACTAACCAAAAGATGCAGGTTTTTCATATTTAGGTCTGTGTTGTAAAAATAGCCAACATATACCTTTACCTTTAAAGAAAAGACACGAAGTCTTAAACAATAAAAAATTTCAGAGTCTCAATATTTCACATCTGAAAAGTCTCAGTGTTGAGGGTGAACTGGGATCATCAGTTAATTTCTTTTTCCCTTCAGTTGGATGGAAGTTCTCACAAGGATTGACACAGATAAATAGTAAATGGAGGTGCGGAAGGGGTGTACCATAACAGATATGCAAAGTAGGTAGAGAAAAGAAAAGAGCTGTGGAATCCATGACCATCACCTTCGTCAAATATCCACTGGGACCCACCCAAGAAATAGAACATCTGTGCATTTCCTAGAAGCCAACTCAAGGATGAATGTAAAGGAAGATTCTCCCTGGCTTGACCCACAAAGGCAACATTCATTTTGCTGCACCCAGAGCTAGTTCACAATGGATTATGAAAAGATAAGTAGTCTCCTTGGGGAGTTGAATTTTGAATATTTTTTCAACAAAGAATAGAGTGTATTATATGATTAATTAGGAAGTTTTAATGACTACATAACTCCCTTAAAAAAAAACAACAACAACAAAGATTTGGAAGGTGGAGAGATGCCTCACTGTTCAAAAGCACAGGATGCTCTTCAGGCAGAGCAGGGTTTGATTCCCAGCATACACATGGAGGTTCACAACTTTTGTAACTCCAGTCCCAGAAAGTCTGATAGCCTCTTCTGGCATCCATTTGTACCAGGCCCACACATGGCTTCACAGACTTATATGGAGGCAAAACACTCATGAACATAAATTAAATGAATATGTAAATAAAATTTAAAAAATAAATATTTGTTCTTTTAAAATGTATGTGTGTGTGTGTGTGTGTGTGAGAGAGAGAGAGAGAGAGAGAGAGAGAGAGAGAGAGAGAGAGAGAGAGAGAGAGCTGTGTTGCATGTGTGCACACACTCACATGCACACAGAAGTACAAAGAAGGCATCAGATCCAGTTGGTTGTATGCCCTCTAGCCTAGATGTGGAGAACCAAACTCTGGTCCTCTCAAACAGCATCAAGTACTCTTAGCCACTGAGCCATCTCTCCAGGACCCACTACCCTCATTCTTTATACTTCTATTACTTGTACCATTAACAGCTATGACGAAATTTAGGCAATTTCAGAAGACACATGTGTGATAGGAGGTTCTTGCAAGGATACACAATTACTTACTTGCTTCACTACAGAGGCATGCCTGCATCCCACAGAGTGGTAGCCAGTGGGGTGAGTGGAGAGAAATCCCCTGCCTTTCAGAGGCAGGAGCCCTGGGAATAATATGCAGGCTAAGTAATCTGGAGATGTGTGTCTAACCAGGCAGAAAGAAATCAAAACATTCCTAATGAGCCATCACAACCTGGCTGTTCTCAGTTAGAATCAAAGTAGAGTAAGCGGGAGTTGTCTTGTAAGTGGCAATAATTAGCAGCTCCAAGGAGAAAAAAAGGAAAAACTATGATTTTGGGTTGTTTTGATTTGGGGATTGATCTTTTGTTTTTTCTTTGCATCATTTCACATTTCTGTCAATCACTGAAATAACCACTTTCTGAAGATCCAGTGGCATGGAGAATTTGAAGGCTTTATCTTGAATCTCCTAATTCCCCTTCAAGCAGGGTATAACTCCCCATATGAATACACACACACACACACACACACACACACACACACACACCTATTGTACATTGTCTTTGGTTTTGTGTCAGGGCTCTGTTTTCACAGACAGCATAAGTGACTTTTCTGAGATGCACTAATTCATGGTAAGGTGTACAAAAGTGTCTGGCTTGAAGAATAGCCAATTGTTGATTGTTTATGTAGCTAGTGGATTGAACTCGAGCTATGATCTTGAGCATATAAAATAGTTTATGAGTACACATATACATTCTGAAAAGGAAATTTAATCCAGGATGAGTTAATGACAAAGAGCCTGCATGAACATTCCTGTTACATGTAATGTGTAGTCTATATGGCCTAGAATCTCTTTTAGATTTCTTTTTCTAGTTAGTTATTCAGAAAGCAGGGTACTAACATGGACAATTATAGGGTTTATAAATAGCTGCATAAACATCCGTTAAGATACTGGAATATGAATAGGATAGAAAAATGTAAATAAGTTGAACCAACATGAAACTGATATGAGCATTGGGGTGTGAAGTGAGGCACTTCTTAGCTTAATATCTTCATACAAAAATCACTTAAACTCTTCAAATTACATGTCTAAAATGAGGCTGAAGTTACCTGTTTACTAGCTTATGGTCAGAGAATTGACTATAAAAGTGAAAATAAGCAAAAGACTACTTTGCGCAACAGAGGTAGTTATTTGGCGGGAAAGGCAAGTAGAACTCCTAATCTAGAAGGAACTTAGTGCAAAATAGGGAATACTGTTCTCTGAGAGGTAGAGATTACTAGAAGGTGACATCTACTAATTTTGAATAATAGGAAATTACATTTTGAAAAAATGGATTTACTTTAAATATTAACATAAGAGAAATAGTTGGTCTTGAAAACTACAGTAAGTGGACATTGGGTGTTCACAATGCAGATTGGTACCACTGTTATAACTAATGAAAATGTGCTAGCACTTAGAGTAAGGTAGGCACCATTCCTGAACTTTTACTGACACATGCAGTCCTCATATTTGTGGTCTTTCTCTCTTGTTTTCTACCTACTGATCTGTTGAGTGAATGATTCCAAAGCATGGTAGTTTCATAGCTTCAAGAAACAAATTTGGGTTACTTTCATATCATTTTAGTAGTTTAGTTTAAGTCTTTTGGGAAATAATTATTACTTTTAGCACCATGGATCTCATGAAATTCATGGATCCACACTCTCATCAGAGTCCTCAATTTACTTTTGCTGTGGAATAATAAATTCAAATAAAACACATATAGGAAAAACCCATATTTACAATAAAAAAAATGTGTAGGTTATTTCACTTTGACACTTCAGTCACCTTGGACACTTAAACACACTTTAACTCAATTTTCTCTTTCATAAAGCATGGATAGTTAAAGACATGACACCCACTCTCAGGAGAATTTGAAGCACTTCTGCCTACTATGTATTGATAGCAGAGTCACCAAGGACAACACACTGCATTACTCATCTAGAGAGAACACAGAACAAAAGCAGCTTCCACAGTGGTGTCAGTGCCCCATGGTTAGTGGTTTCTCCTGGCAACAGATGAAAGTAAAATGTTCTTGCCTTCTGTTAAAGGACCTCATTCCTTCCACCCAAAAGATCAGAGATACAGACTGGATTTGACCAGTTTCCATATCTTGAACAGGCTTACCCAGAACAAAACAATGACAGATACACCCACCCAAGACCATCAGCACCTTACAGACTGGGAAGACTCTATAGAGAACTTTTTCAGGTCCCATCTCATGCACCAGAGCAGATAGTTAGAAGACTTGTATGCAGGATTGGCTATTTTTTCCCCAAAGAATGACATGGCACCAATCTCATGGATGTACTCTGAGGATTACATTTTCAAGTCTATAAAATACCAACATCATTTGTGACAGATTGAAAGCACTCAAAACACATTGCCAAATAAATAAACATTAAAGTAGCTGTTATAATTTTCCAATATCACAAATTATTGGTAAATTAAAAAATTATTGCTGTGAGTAGTGTCTCTGGAACTTAAACTTTTGAGGGGTGAATTCCATCTGCCAAGGTCAGCTGTTTGAAGAAGGCTACACAGGATATAAGAAACATGCCACCTAGAGATCTAGGAAGAAAGGGCAATAATAGGAACACAAAATTTTAATCCAGGTTTGCCAAATATATGCCTAATATAATAAGTTATGTTTGAGATCCATAAGCTAACTTCTGCATATTATCCACAAGCCATTGCTAGATGATCCTTTAAAATGTCTTTATGTAATTTCATTACTTTTGATTTTTAATTAAAAGTATTTATATATATATATATATATATATATACACATAAATACACATATTATATATATTAATTGTAAATTAAGCACATCCTTCATATCTCCACCTCCAGTTCCT